AGAAAGATTTGTATTTTTTGATTCACGCAAAAACTACTAGGCCGATTTCAAAAAATATTTCACCATTAGAAAGATAATTTATCTGTAACACAGATTATATTTTTTAAATTCACGCGGGCGAAGTCGTATGTCAGACTTTGTTAACGGTTCTCGGAATTTTAATGATAACGAGATAACGTAATTTTAAATGCATTAATCAGAATTGACATTATTTCCGAAATCAGAGCAAAATTAAAAATTTAAACGTGCTCCATTTTAATTATGTCAAGGCGAGTCAGCGAATTAATTTGCGTATAACTAGATTGACTCGATATTCCCATAACTAATGATCCATGATAAACTATGACATCAATGGTTTCTATAGAATGAAGTAAGATATTGAAGGTCGCTATAAGCCATTCTGATGGTGGGCGCGACCGGAACTGATTTGTCATAAATTCTTTCATGTTCTGTTGGTCGCAGCCGGTGACTGAAATAACCATTGTGATGTGTCTTTGAATCGTAATCTCCATTTATGACGTCACGTTTACAACGTACATACCAGCTGTTTGTTGCTCTGTTTAAAATTACGAAGAAAAAACATCAGTATACATCACAACCATTAAGATTTACTATTCCTGTACCGTTTAAACTTCATCTTTTATATGAATAAAGATAAAAATGTAGATCTAAGTTAAATATTCAAGCGAGAACTTGAAGTATCTGAGTCACATCCTTTCTAGAACAAACAAAATTCCTGCAGTTTATTATTATGCCAACATAGTTCCACTTGACGCATAAAACTATTGTTTACCCTTGTTACAATTCCGTTGATTACTATTATTTTTTTAAGTAAGTTTTTTAAGCATAACTCCGCTTAGGTTCTTTATCTAATTTGATTAGTGTATTCTAGTAAGAGCTGTTCGTATTTTGTTATTTATAGTGGCCCTTTCAACAGAGCAACAATTACACAAACATCAATCAGTACAATGTTCTATTGGTGAATTGAAACACTATTCTGAAAATAAACGCAACATGATTTCGTGAGTCAATATCGAGATATTTTTGGATCTGCTACCCCAATAGCCGGTAATTGCGTGTTTTAACGGTCACTGAGCTTTTGTTCTGGTCAAATACTAGGAGTATGCCTTTATTCTTAACTCAAAAATGCACATTTTAAGTATCTTATAAAACTACACAAAATATTATTAAACGTGTATAGTTACTCGTACATTTTCCATATTTAGTGAATCTTCAAACCCTCAATTTGATGAATTCTTAAAAAAAATTAATTCTCTAAGGATGGTGAACCGTGAATTCTACGAAAACCATGATTATCTGCTTACGTCTTTGGTCCATCTTTATATTTACTTGCTACCAGTCTACAGCTACATGTACCATATTTGATCAAAGATCTAAATACAAAAATTGAATCACCAATTATTGTAAACACGTGAAATCATAAAACATATTTGTAAAATGTCGCAGCGTTATTTTGCGGCAAGGCTAATTGCTTCCATTTTTTAAATTAAAACACGTTACATTAATAGGGCTGACGCAAATTACAATAGCTCTTGACAGCTCGTCACTTTGCGCGTAATTAAATGTAACTAAGGAGGGTACCCTAATTTACACACATCAGGCACCACTCAACATTAATCAAGATGCACTAAGGCGGCGTATGAGCCACTCTTCATATCTAATCACTTTACATAAGGTCTATGTTCCCCCTATCGAGGGTAAAATTTAAATTCTGAAATCTTACTTCTTACCAATATTATAAATGCGAAAGTTTAGATGGTTGGATGTTTGTTAAAGTTTGCAGCCTAAACGACTGAACGGATCTCGATAAAATTTGGCATAGATGTAGAGCATAGTCTGGAAAAACACATAGGCTACATACTTTTGTTTTTTTATTCGATCGAGGCGAAAGATAGTTAGTAAGTAATTAAACTTTTGCTAAGGATAATGCGTAGTGGAGACTTAATGTTAGAATTGTACACTAATGAACTTAATTTGTGGAATCCAGTCTTAGAGGTATGTTACACTTGGCGTCAGTATTGAGTTCTTATCCTGACCTATTTCCAGGAGTTATTCGAATAAGAGGCTTAACTAAAACCAGGACGTCCAGGAAGTCCTATAGAATAACAATTATATTTGTTTCGCATAAATAACTTCACGCATTGTATTGGAAAACATTGTATGGCGGATAAAAACGATTCGTATACAATAATATTTAAATATTTGTTTAAAAATGTAATCCGTAAATAATTATACGCACAAGTTGCGTAATCCAAAAGTGCGTGTACATATTTATCATAATTATCGAGGCTAATGTTAAGTCAGTAATTTTTTTACAGACTTGGATTTGGATGGCTGTGCCGCTTTCTTGTTTTCTGGTCGATCTTCTGTGGCGAATATTCACGAGGAATTTGGCAAGAGTTCAGATGTTAAATGTAAGTTTATTTTGTTATGTCTATAATTCGTAAAATAGCAGCATAATAGACTGTAATAGTATACAGACGTGAAGCGAATAATGCTTTACTTCTGTATTTTGTTCGTTCAAAGATTTTATCTAGAGAAATAAACTTACTATGTACAGGTCACATAAATATTCCGATAGACCACATGATGTCTAGATAACTATTTTCATTTCTGAATACTTTCATATTCGCACTTGATGTATTCCCAAGCTTTGCCAGCATTTCTAAGCCAGTATAGACGATGAAAAGGTTTCTATTCCGATTCTTCAAACATTGCTCCACGAATACATCTTTGAAACGAATCTGAAGACTTTAATTATAAGCAAACAGCTGCGCCGCCGGCGATTTAGTCCGGTAACCGATTATACTTTGCATAAGCCGCTTATGTCCGTTAGTACAGGCGCCATCGAAAGTCAATTAACATTTATTTACGAATTTAAACTTTAATCTTTCAATTGTTTATGTCAATTGTTACTGTACCAAATTATCATGTAAAGCAACCACATTTAAAAGAAAGACACAAGAACACTAAGAACTGGCAAACCTAGCGAAAAAGTTTCATCCAAACTCGTAGTAGTTATCACGTAATAGATACGTGTAAACATTGAAAAGATGCAGTTGAACACATAGAACAGTGAATTGGCTGGAGTAGCAGCTAAAATGCATGCAGTTTTTTGTTTTATCATGGTATACTACTACTCTACGGAAACCATTTACGGTATTTTCCACAGGTATGTCATATGGCCGGACGGACTCTGAGTATAACTGTTAGCTGCCCATACAATACGTTTAGATGTCGCAAGGGGCAATACGTGCTGCTGCAATGTTTAGATGTGTCACTACTGGAATGGCATCCCTTCACCATCGTAAAGGTAAGACGTTTTAAACTCGATTAATAGTTACTAGAGTTAAGTAAATTCTCTTTTAAATTTCTCTTATGAACTATTAACTTGTTCTATTAGTAATTTTAAAGACAAAAGTGACTTGGAGTTTGTTGATAAGTAATTAAAATAATGTTAACAAAGTTATTTTGGTTTCAGCTACCGACTGTGAATCAAAGAGAGTTCGAGGTTTGGATAAGAGTCAAAGGTGACTGGACTGAAGCTTTAGAGAGACTGATCTTGGAGAAAGGAGCAAGTAATGTTAGGTAGATCTACTACCGTATTCATTTACTTGATAATCCCAAACTGTGCAGTTCGAAAGAGAAAGGTTGCAATGGCTACATTCAAATATACGAAGCCTTGGTCCCTTGAATGTTATGTAAGGTTAGCTAAACTTAAAGGGCATCGCAACGTGAAATTGTTAAACAACATATACCATTCCCATTGTAAGACTTTTCTGTATAGATTACCCATTAGGAAGATTGTGCATCTTCATGATATGTTGAGAGCGACGCCTACAAAAGTCTTGGACCTCAAATTATCATTCTTTAATAGATATTGTCTATTTTAGGATACTAATAGACGGTCCATTTTCAAGTCCAATGGAGGGAGTCAGCAGGAGTGATGTGGCGTTATGCGTAGCGGCCGGTGTGGGGATCACACCTTTTGTGACCATCTTACAAGAAATGCTGATGTAAGTCACATTTCTATGCACTGGTAGACCAATAGATATACTATGCGTAACGTTCTTTATTCCTAAAGAAAATATGTTACAGAAATCCAAGAAGCACGTTACCGGGTAGAGTACACTTGTTATGGATTGTGAGACGGGAACAGGAAATAAAATGGTTGGCGGATTTAACTCACAAAGTTATCTCGCAACTGAGACACGCTAATCGACCGGATAGACTGCATATCGAATTTTACGTAACGAGCACAAACAATAATGATCCTAATACGACTTATGATAAAGATAAAAATAATATAGCACACGTAGTAATGATCAATGAAAAAGGGGTCCTGACTCATATCTTAAACAAAAACGATAAAAACATTTCCGACGATGAGAAAGCAACTCTTTTGACCCCTAACAGAAAAAGGGTTGATTATGTTGCAAAGGATATTAAAGATGAATGTAACGATAGAAAAGGACATGATATAGCGAAGGAATATCCTTTGGTGGGATGTCGAGTGAGGAGAGGCAGACCGCACTGGGACAGAGTGTTCGGATATTGGGTGCATTTGTATCCAGAGTAAGTAATAAATAATAAGTTATTTTTTTACCAATACAAAAGCTAAATATAATTACTTATGTTTTTTACAGACAGAATCTCAACCTATATTGCTGTGGACCAAAGAAATTAGTCAAATTATTAAGAAATAAATGCAAAATTGTATCGAACGATACGAAGAACAAGTTTACGTTCATCCATGAAGCTTTTTCCTAATGTAGATAATCTAATTTATGTATGATGATCGTTAAATTAATATAAAAGTATTTAAAAAAAAGTTTCATTTCAACTATTGTAGTTAGAATTGAATATAAGAATGTATTATGGGTTAGTAGAAGAGCAAGGATTCCAACAATACTAATCGTTTTAATAAATGCATTTTATACTAGCAGTGTACTTCGATCTGCAATTTTCCAGATATAATTTAGTACGTAGCAAATTAAACTCCAAAGTTCGATTACAAATTGACTTGATTATTCGTAATTGTTTAACTTTAGCAACTAGAATTTACAGAACTTTAAATTGCACAGAACATTACTCAAGCAATTTTATTTCATAAAGCAAGTAACCATGGAGTTTGCAGGTATCTTTTCTCGAGGACAAGATTTTTTTGACATCAATTTAAAATATCTTTTTTACGTTGGATTATGGCCAAGAGAAGATTTTACAAGAAATAAAGCATTTTTATACAAGTTGTATGAAATTGTTTTGCATATTTTGTCCTTGGTATACGTCGTAACTACCAGCATTGGGACATACCAGAATAAGCACGATGTAGCAATATTTTTGTCTAATTTGGATAAAAGTCTTGTGGCTTACAATTTTGTATTGAAAGTTATCATTTTTGTCATAAAACGTAAGCATGTTGAAAAATTGATTAAGGAAATAGCAGCATCTGGTGATAGAATTTCTTACAATCAAAAACGTTTAATGGCTCTACATGTCATTATTATAACTATTGTAGCCACAGCTATAATTGGCGCATTTAGTTTACTGGCTTTGTTTAAAATGGAGATGATTGTTGAAGCTTGGATGCCTTTCGATCCACATAAGAATGTAAAGAATTATTTCATGGCGACTCAAATCCTGGTTATAACATTTATTGTGCCCTGCTCGTACAGATCAATTGCTATGCAAGGTATAGTTTGTAGTATCGTTATGTATTTGTGTGAGCAGTTTATAGATTTGCAAAATAAAATAAAGCGCTTAGAATATTCAAGAGAGATAGAATCCTGCATGAGAACGGAGTTTAAGGAAATAGTGAAAAAGCACGTACGTTTGATGAGGTAAGGTCACTAAACACGTCCTTTATTTTTTATTTCATGATAGTTTTCTACAGCGTTGAGATAAAAATTGAACGTGAACCAATTTCAGCCTTTGTAGTTTTCAGGTTTTCTAAGCAATTATCAACGACATTTAAAGAGTTCTTTTTAATACAAAATTTAGCTGTTTCGGTTGAAATGTGTTTGAATGCTATGATGGTGACTATGGTAAGCAGATTTTACTGCAGAATTTTAACTTTTATGGATAATGAGAAATATCGTTAAGTACCAATTTACAGGTTGAACGCGAACAGAAGACACTGTTGGCTAGTTTTATAGCTTTCCTGACAATAGCGCTGATTAATGCTTATATTTACTGTTATTTGGGGAACGAAATGATTGTTCAGGTTTGTTGATAACGTAACATTTAACCTATGATGTTTTACTGGTCGTAGTTACACAACAATTTTGAATTAATTTTCTTAATAATACTTTACACATGGGTCGCTAGAGTGAAGGCATCGCAATGGCGGCCTATGAAGCTTCTTGGACATCTTGGCCTCTTGATATGCAAAAAGATCTCCTCATCGTTATCAGGGTAGCACAAAAACCATTGAGTCTCAGCGCAGGCGGAGTAGTCACCATGTCCATGCAAGCATATAGTCAGGTATGGTTTAATAATAAATGTTACATAGCAAGCTTTTGTAAAACTCAACCTATATTAAAACAAGTAATTTTTATATCTATTTCACATTTCTCGATTCTATTCCCAATGCAAACGCGCATGATTTATATTATATGTATTGTTATATTTACAGGCGTTATACAATGGCTATTCCATATTTGCTGTTCTCAATGATGCAGTTGATTAGTGAAGTGTTTTAGAAATTCAAAGTAATGTAAAATTTGTAATAGTTTTGCCAAAGAAGACGAAGTAGCGGTCTATAATAAAATAAAGTTTAAACCACAATCGATTGTTCTTTCATTTACTGTTTGTTCATTTGTCCCATCACTAATTTGAATTATAATCTGTGCAGCCAGCTGTTTAGGTTTAGTCTGTCAATCTGTCAACTGTCAGTTATTGATTTTTATGAGAAAAGTGGATCGATTGAAAGATATTTTATTAATGTTTAAATATTAGACTATTAATAATTGGCAATGAAGCTTACTCCTGATATTAATAATACGGAAACGTACCAAAAACTGTTTGCGAAACTTCAAAATCCCGATGTTAATTATCAAAAATTTGTCAAGAATCTGGCGAAATACCACTTTCAAGTAAAAGCTGTAATACAGGTAATGATTTTGATGTAAATGAGGATTCAACTGTGTATTTATATAGAAGATATATTAACAATTCAATTATTTTACTTAGGATATTTTAGGATGCGATTCTATGGATAAGTTAAATGCTCTCAATGAAAAGGGTAGAGCTTCACTCACAGTGCTGAGAGAAGAACTTGATAGTTTGGATTTATATGGACATGAAAGCGGTGATGAGAAGTTTCTTGTTGAATTAGAAGCTCAAAAGCATTCTCTCGCAAAGTAAATAGAGTTTGATTGTTTAATCATGTAGTATTTTGGATTCCCCAGTTATTTGGTTTTTCTTCTTTTTTAGACTTTTACAAGAATTTAGAGATGCAAATGTAAATACTTTATTCAATATTGAAAAAGCACAAAGAGAGGAATTACTTAATTCTAAGATTGAAGGTGAATCAAATTTACGTAATAGGAAAAAGCCTGGGAAAAAAGATGGACTGTCAATGAGTTCAGGTTTGTTAAATATTTTTTTTATGACACTGGTAACAAACTAAGCAAACAGATGAATGGATGGATGTTTGTATGAGTTTATAGCCTAAACAGCTGAATATATCTCAATGATGTTTGGCATTGATGTAGAGGATAGTTTAGAAGAACATAGGTTACTTCTTTTTATTCCACTTGCACAGAGTTGTGGTTAAAATCTAGTAATATTTTGTTGGAGGGATGCCAGTTTATTTTACCTAGTTGTAAACTTTTGATAATTTAGCCTAAAACTACAAAATAAATCAACATTTCTTTAGGTGTGACAGAACAGTTATTGTCAATAAGTAGGCAATTGGCCGACACAACGCAAAGAAGTCAGGCCACACTAGATACTCTGGTTTCATCTAGTTCTGCTGTACATGTAAGTGTTCAAAATTATAAACAATAATTGTGTACACATTTGGTAAGCAAATTTCAATTTTAAATAGTTATGGTAAATGACAGTTTTTGTAGACTTAACCTTGTCCTGTATATAGTGAAGGGTTCGACCCAAGACATAGTATGATAATTATCTTATATGTCCAAATTGTTTTACAATATAAATAATGTTGCATTCCATGTTAAGATCAAAATAAAAAAATATCGTTAATTTAATGCACTTCAATTGGTTGGACATATAAATGTTATCTATTGTGGAAATAAATTTTTGTAAGTAATAAAATTAGTGTTTTAGACTCAATTATTTTTAGGGTTATGCAAGTAATGTCGGTCACTTAAACACTATCCTGGCTCACCCGTCTACGGTCGAGGCTGAGATGGTGTTTAAGTTGGCCGACATCTGTTTAAGAAAATAGTATGTTAACTAAGTTTTGTTTGTTTAAGACTTATGGGGGGTTATCTTCGCTTCGCGACAAAGCCCCCTGTAAAAACAAATTAAAAAAGACTAATAAATGATAATTATGGCTAGTAATTTAAATAGCATGGTGTTATTGACTTAAAAGAATATTTTCAAATGATATATTAAAAAAAGAATGTTTCTATGTTTATGTTTAAGTAAAAAACAATATCTGTTTTTTATGTTGTATGTTTCTATACAATTTAATATTGTTAAATAAATTTCAGGGCACACAATCGGAGTTAGAGAATACAGCTGGTACAATTTCTCAATCAAGCAAGCTGTTAAATAAATATGGAAGACGGGAGTTCACTGACAAAGTGATAATGTTCTTTGCATTCTTGTTCTTTTTAGCTGTATGCCTTTATATTGTACAGAAAAGGCTGTTCTAATTTGTATTTCCTGATATGGATTGTATATCATTATTATATGTAATAATTTTTATTTAATATTAAACAATTATCATTTAATGGTGGAGTTTCTCTTATTATTTAAAATGATATTTTTATACTTAATGTGAACTACCAAAATAATAAGAAGATTTTCATTGTCTTTAATGGGCTTTTAAATATTAGTTACATAGGCATAGAAAAAGAATTTTCGGTTTTCACGGAACTTTCTGCCCCGCACAGCCGCGTTCTGAAACGGTTATTGGCGGTTTTTCCAAACCAATACAAGGGTCCTCCAAGAAGTGAGCCTATCATTTCCTTCAAGGCCGACAACGCATCTGTAGTTCCTCTGGTGTTGCGGATATCCATGGGCGTCGTTGACCACCTCGGTGTTCTTGCCGTTCGTTTGCCCTTTTGTTTTTAAAAAAAGAGAAGGAATTGAAACATTTTTTATTAGCTTTTTCCTTATTTTTCCGCAGTATATGATATCTCTAATATAGAACAGTACAGTGAGAGTATTTTGCCAATGCAATAAACGTCACAGTGAGTGATTGAGTACTAGTTTATTATAGCCTACGAATTATAAACTTCGTCAGTCTGTGATAGTGGTCCGAGCACGACCGTCGCGTTGCTCGCTCCTCGGACGTTGACCTCTCGATACCCGCGATGACTCGTCTCCACTCATTAGTGTTCGCAACAATAATATTTGCACAAAATGCCATCGCCTATAACATCCTTGCCATTGTTTCTATGCCATTAAAAAGTCATTACATGGCCTTTCAAACGCTTTTCCGCGAATTAGCAGTAAGAGGACATTCGGTCACGGTCATGAACAACTACCCTGACCTACATCCGGTGCAAAATCTTCAATTTATTGACCTTCAAGTGCAAAATGCGTTCAGGAACCGGACCCCGTCGTTGTCCTGGTACGAAACCGAGGATTCGAGATTCATGCATTTGGTTAATCTGCATCGGCACGTGTATTTCGGACCTCAGAGTACAAAATTTGATTGTGAAAATTTATTAAACAACGAAAACGCAAAAGGGCACTTAGCCCAAGGGAAAAAGTACGATGTGATATTTGTGGAGCAATTTTTTAGTGATTGTGGTTTAGCTTACGCGGGTGTTATGTACGACGCACCGATTATTGGAATAACTTCACACGTTCTGCTACCTTGGGCTTATCCCAGATTGGGAATACCGTTTGATTTTTCCTCTGATGCTTATTATTTTGCAAACGCCGGCACCAACCCTGGACTATATCGTAGAATCGAAACTATGCTGATGCATTTATACCTAACGTATGGTAAGTGGTTGATAGATAGAAGTACTTATGATGTTTTTTACCACCACATGCCTAACGTTAGTCTGGACATCGAGGAGTTGGCGTCTGAGAGGATGAAGATGATGTTCTCTAACCAGCATTACTCAATAACCGGCGCACGACTCACCGGACCACAAGTATTGGAAATTGGAGGCATTCATATCGACAAACCAAAGCCTGTTCCAAAGGTAAAACACGATAAATGTAATGGTAACTATGACTACGTTATTCGACTTAAATTACAAACAAATGCAATTGTTAAGGAAAAGGTCCTATCTATGTTTACTAAATGGCTATAAACTAATGAACGATACATTCTCGTTATGTTTCCTATTAGAAAGTATTAAATTTTATTAAAAAAAGGACAATCGAACTCCTAATTTGATAAGTTAAATCATTCTATTAGTACTTATAGTAACAAGTTATCGCCCTATCACATCGATTTTGTTTCATTTATGATCAGAACTTGACCTCGTTTAAATAAAACCTGTACATTGGTTTAAAATATGCATAAAATTTAACTTAGTGACGGCCAAAATATTTGAAGGAACTACTAACTGTTAGAATGAAATGAGTTACAAAAGACGAGTAAATCACATGAACACATTAGTGACAGTGCAAAAGCAGTGATCAAAGAAGCATTAAACTTGAATCTTAAATTTAAAATAGTTTAGTTCTACTATACTTGGTATCCGTCAATATTACTATAACTGGTTGATGCCTCTTCAAGGCAAGCAAGGGCTAACAACCATAAAAACAATCAAGGTTAACTCTTAGACGACAACTAATGCCATTGAATCTGTCAATAACTACGTATATTTTTACAGGATATAGAAAAATTCTTAGCAAATGCAACAAATGGCGCAATCTACGTTAGTTTCGGTTCGAATCTTATCGCTAGCACGATGTCAACGAATAAAATGCAACAATTTTTGGACGCTTTTAAAAAGATACCGCAAAAGGTGTTGTGGAAATTAGAGAACGCAAGTCTTCCGATTGGGAACGATAATGTTTATACAAGCAACTGGATGCCTCAGTTAGATCTTTTGTGTAAGTAGCAAGCATAACATGTCTTCTGTCTGTGCGTGACCTTCGTTGAATAGAGGTAAACAACGTATATGTTTTTGCTGGTGTATACACGGGCAGCGGTCGTTTCTCTATTTCGGTGAATTCAAGTGGCTGCTCGCGTTTGCCTTCTTATGGTAAAAAACGGAGACTCGAATCGTTAACGACTCTTTAAAAACGCTTTAAAGTCACATCAAATGAATCCAGGGAATGATGCAAACAAACTATGAAAATAAGTGAATGTTTCTGCTCCATGGTTTTACCCGTGCAACTTCATGCTGCTAATACTAAATTGCATAATTCATAGATATTTTCCGCATGTTAGCATTGTTTTTTTATTGTATATCTGTATTCTAAGAATTTTATTTGTAAAAGATGTGTTTGTAGGAAAGTAATGAGAAAAAAAAATAGAATTTGAAAACACGTGTGTCCAATGTCAAACTACCCATACAATTTATATTTCGTTTTGCGTGTATTTTGTCTTATTACCAGCTTTTGCACGCGATTCCGTTTGCGCGAAATTAAAAAAAATGCTTAGTGCCCATGAGTACTTCTAGACTATGTTCTATTCAAATAAAAAAATCTATTAAAAAATGCCAAATTCGTTCCAGAAATACATTCTATCAAACATCCAACTATTCATCTAAACTTTCGCACTTATTGTATTAGAAGCAATACTTACTAATAGTTCTGTGACGTAACATAACAATATGCGAATTTAAAGTAACAAAATGTTGCTTGATTCGTTGAAACGCTAATACCCTAACCAGGGATGTGGTCTTATTTTACGAAAACGTCTTTTTAGGTAGTTTATATAGCGACATCTATAGCACCTTGGGGTAAACTTCAAGGTTACCGGTTGAACCAGTTGTCGGTTGTCTCAAATCAAGTTATGTACCCCATTCTCACAAAACCGCCTGGGTCAATGAACTCTATTTGTAAATATAAGCTTAAAAATCCAATACCTCCTGGCGACTCCCGCAACTTGTAACAAATGTAATTTTAAAATCCCTAAATGACATGATTTTAAATATTTTCAGGTCATCCCAAAGTGGTCGCCTTCGTGTCCCATGGCGGCATGCTGAGTATATCAGAAGCCGCGCATTGTGGGAAGCCTTTACTTGCAATGCCGTTCTTTGGTGACCAATTCTCAAACGCAGCTGCTGTCCGATCTTCGGGAATTGGAACTACCATGTTCTTTGAATATCTCAATGCTGAAAACTTGGCCGAGGAAATCAAGAAGCTGACGTCGTTAAAGTAAGTTGTTATTAATAAACGTTTTTTAAAATATATTTAAGAAAAAAACGTAGTGCGGAAATTCAATTTACTTCTTGTTTTCAGCATGCAGAAAAGTGCACAAAGAGTTTCCAAGCTGTGGCACGACAGACCGCAATCAGTTATGGACAGCGCCATCTATTGGACAGAGTACGTAGCGAGGCACGGTTCGGCGCCACCATCTTTGCCTTCCAAAGGAAAGACGTTGTTAGAGCAGTTTCAACTAGATGTCGCTGTAACACTAATGGCTATTTTAATAATCATTTTGTTGTTATTTTACTTTGTTTACAAATGTTTAGGGTTAATACTAAAAATAGCAAATTATTTAATAAGTAATAAAAAAATTAAAAAGGAATAATTAGTTACATTTATGTCCAAGATCTGTATCTAATTTAGGTTAGGTTAAATTATTTACTTTATGTTATAATAAAGATAAAACATTTCTCAAACAAATCACACGTGTTTATTATATTTATCAATTGCTTGATCATTTTTTTTATTAAATAACTTGTTATTTGAACAGATTGATCGTGGGTGAGACAATAATAATAATATTATCCTACATATCACATGGTCCCCCTAGTCGCCGTCAGCGCTTATCGTCATTTGACTTTAAAACGCGATTTATGCGTGCGAATTAACGAAGAAGAATGTCAATTTTATAGGCTCATGACACGGGTAATGACTGTACACGTATAAAATGTGCTACATCCAATCTTCTAATTGCTTTAGACCTTAACCTATATAAGAAAATCGGTCGCCTACACGATTTGCGTCGCTTTTAAATACATAAGTGAGGGCTTATTACACTGTGATTCCTTTTTTAGTGTTAAATTTTACATCATGCCATAGGGTTCTAGATTTGTTTGTCGTAATGTTAAATGTCATTTTTATTAGTAACACTTTACACTAGTAAACTTAATGACTAAAAAGAAGACTATGGTAGGGTTTTTATCAGAAGAAGTAACTGATTTAAAGTTTATTTTTTTTTAAATGAGACGTATTGAGCTATTGCACCTGTTACCGGTATCCGTCACTTAAAACCAGGCGCCTTGCTGGTTCCTTGATATAAAAGCAGTTTGTGAAATCACATGATTTGCCGGGATAGGCTGGTGTTGAGGCGTGGCGTGACGTGACGTCAGAGGAAGGCCATACTGACCCTGGAGTACGCGGAACACGGTGCAGCATCCTGCACGCACTGCGTACTGGACATTTTGATTGATAATGTGCCTTACCTAACATATTTCCTTGTTCACTTGATAATTGGATAGTACTATAAATTATACTACGTTTCTTTTATCATACGCATGTCGAGTTCTGTTTATTAGGACTTTCCACGTTCTAAATGCAAAAAGATATAAACAATTGAATTACGTGGAATGTATGAAATATTAAATTTTTTTAATTTTGTGAAAGTAATATTATCGAAACTATGAAATAAATTATTATCTAATGAATTAATCTACACAGAAAGGAACAATAGAAAAATGTTCGAGGATAATTGTTCTGCAAATAATTTGATGTCACAAGTCACAAGAATACGCACAAATATCGTTTATCAGTAAGTTTCGGAGAAGCTTATCTTGTTTGTCGAACTGTGCTTGGATCAAGGGCTCTGTACAACTGATAGACGCGTGCTTAAGCCCTTTTTACACTTTCCTTTATAAACTTAGAAATAACAATGTATACAAATAATGTTTCTCTTTATTAATAGTTAACTACGCAGGGGAAATACTAAATGTTCACGAAAGTTAGACTTGTGATGTCACAGACAAAGGCATAGAGTTAATAGAATTTTGAGATATGTCACTTATCTATGATATTCAAAATGAACTCCTTAGTAAGTTGTATCCTCATTAAAAAAAGTTCACCGAAGGCAAACTATAACCATAGGAGGAACGAAGAAGACTACCTAGCAACCAATTTTATATGTGAATTTGTATTATGAAAACTATTAAAAAGTATTTTTAACGCAGTTATTAGTAGAAACCTATGTTTGTTGTTCGTACTCATAATAGGCGTGGGTAAAGGGGTCTTTGATGAGTCAGTGTACCGAAGAGTCGGCCTTCAACCCGCGAGCCGCCACCGCCGCGCTCGCTTCGCCATCGCCGGCATTGAGTTGCATTAACACTATCAGTAGAGGCCGAGCGATTAGGACAAATTCGGCGATTACAACTGAGGCCGTTAAAATGATGGACGCAAAAATTAGTTTGGCAATGGCGTTTGAATTCTAGCCGTCCGCTAGACCTCGCTCCCACGATGCGTCTAGAAAATTCTAGATTTTTTTTGTACATTATCAGAACAACAAGAGATATCTTAATTATTGTTTTAAAAGATGGTACCAGATTTTGTTAAAAAGTGCCATTACAATTATAGGGTTGAACATTAAAATAACTATAATGTTATAAATACATTTTTAATTGGAGAACACATAAAAAAATGGTTAAGGAAGTTATTTTAATTGCTATCTCTTTGTGAGTCATTGAAGATGTTGCTTTAAAGGAATGTGGTAAAAAGCGGTTCTCATTGCGCATTTTCTTTTTCCAATAATAAATTATTCAATAATTACTTACTAGTTAAATGCACTGTGAATATATTAAATGTCCAGTACACAATTTATGCTAAATGTTACATTGTTTTTATTCCATATTAGCTGTTGCTCGCGACTTCGCCTGCGTGAAATTAAAAAATAATAAAAAGAACGCCTATGATCACTGGTAACGTAGTTTTTTAATGGCCCAGTAGTTTTCGAGCTACTTCAATACATAGAAAAATACAAGTCTTTCATATTTATAATATTAGTATAAATGCATAGGTTCATGTGATGCACCTAATGTCACTCATTTCATAGGTTTTCCATTTTCACTTACTTCTCTAGTCAGAACAATAAAATAAACATTTCAATAAAAAATATTAACCACAAAAATTTAATTTCAACAACATTTTTTATTTAATTGGAATAACATTTTATTACATAATCCACAGAATTCGAAAACCATATGCACCGCGCAATATTTTCATGCAATGTTTCGCGGCACGCCTGCTTGAACCCGGAAGGTGAGCCAAGCGAGAGATGGACACGACACACGGCGCATCTGTCGACGAACTTTAGAGGACGATATAAATTGTAAGCGTTAAATTGAATAATGGGTTCGGTATTAAATGTTGTCTTTTTCATAAAAGTAAATCTTGAACTTGAATTTATAAAATCAGTAAAATGTAGAAGTGAATGAAGTTACCTAGAAAAAGATGGATGGATTGTGTAAAAGGTGACATGATCAAAAAGGGAGTGATGTATGAGATGACGTATGATTAGGAGGACAAAAACTTGTTGCGCCGACCCTACGGGAGTAGAATAAGGAGAAGGAAATGAGTAAAATGCAGAAGTGCGTTCAATAGGAGTTGCTCTACTGTTGCGGATGTCCTTGACAATCCTACCTAAACGAGTTATTAGCCTCCTTATGATATAAGAAAACAGCAGTAAAATAAGTAATATTCGATTATTATTAACGTATGTTCCAGTTATACTATAATTTATTTATTAAATTGACACAAAAAGGTAAGATAACTCGAAAACGACACATTTCATTGATCATTACAACAAATTCCATGTCATTATATTTGTATTCGCACGATTTGCGTTATAATGAACTTTATTATTATAATGAATAAAGCTCGCAATGTATTTCTTTAATAAAGCCCGTATTACGTTTCCTTTTAAATGAACATATTGTCATATTAAATTCTATTCCATTTCTTTAAATTGCTTTCATCCAAATGCCTGACTAGATGTGCTAATCCCGTCTAACAACGGGGTGTTCCCGCATGTCGTTACTAAATATTCTAAACATAAATATTATCATACAGTGGTTATTAGCTACTTTTAAAAATGAAGTTAAAACAAAGCAACGACTAACTCTTCCAAAATGATATTTTAAACCAGTTTACTTTGTAGTTACATATTCATTGTTGGGAATCTCTTAGTTGGAAAAAACAGATGTTTTCATAAAACTTTTTCGTTAAAAACTCTCAAACTTATGCGGACATTCAATTAAAATATTCAACGTATGCAAATCACAGAGGGCGGGAAATGTAAATTTCTGTCTAAAAATCTCTTAATTAGGACGGCTCGACACTTAAGATAATTTTCTATTAGTTTAATTAATTCTTATCAAATGAATTGTTACAGCTGAGTTAGGCGTTTTGTCTGGAAATGGGAGAAACTGTATAAGTAATCATTACGCCTCTATCTTCGCACAAGCATAAAGGCACAACGATACTGTCACGCATCGACTTTAATACTCTGTGCATGACAATCAAATTCTGTATACTCTGTCATTGCATGAAGATGTCATAGACAATGTCGCCAGCATTGTAAGCACGCTAAATCCAATCATAGACCTGTCGGTATCGGTTCGTTTGTACACAAGGCTGGTCGTTAGCGAGGAGGCTTCTGGGCGCTAATCAATGCATCTGTATCGTCCGGCAGACACGATATGCATATTCATTGACGCTGTGACTGATGTGCGACAATTACATCGACCATCTCCTCTATTCCAATATCTGCCAAATACGCATATGTTCCCTATAGTCTTCTAATCTATTCTGATTGTTAGACTACACCAGAGTTTCCTATTACTAAGGACTAAAAATGTGCCGTAGTCAAATTCATCCTGACATTTTTTTTCTTCACAAATCACATAACAAAGGAAAATCTATAGTACTGTTAACAAATGTTCCTCGCATACATATTACCTCCTCGGATTAGGGTTTGTACCGCGATCCTTCACACGGACAATCTTTGCTATACTGCGACCGCAAGGATATTTATGACCTTAACCTTGTTAGTTGTTACTGCCTTCTTGTAGTGTACCATTCAAACTTTATAGCGGCTCGGAAAATAACACGAGAGGATTTTTAGAATGTAATTTTACGTTTCGGCAGGACGTAAAGTGTTCTAGGGGTGGGATTCATTTGCATACACCTGGGGGAATACACCAATGGGATCACCCGATACTCAGATGCGTAGACGATGCGCTCGCAGCTAACCCCGAGCTGCAATAAAGTTTGAATTTTATGATACCCATTTGATCTATCTGTTTTGGCGAACTCTAGGGGATTTTCTTAAGTGTCTGGTTTTTCTTGTTTGTCATTGATAAACCAATAAAATAATTGACTACTGAACTACTGACTGTCGTATTTAGAACACTTTATTTAAATAAAAACTGTTAATTAATAGAGGTTAGAAAACATTAGGCAAATATTAAAAGGGTCTGAAAAAGTGAGTTAAGATTCCTTTATGTTACTTTCCTTATTAAAATTATAATTTTTCCATTTGGAAACTCTCATACGTATCTCATACTTGAGTTTTCGGAAGCGTGAGATGCCCATGTTCCGGGTCATTCTTATGGTAAT